ATTATTATCATGATGAAGAAGATGATGATGATGATCACGATGATGATGATTATGATTATTATTGTTAATGCTGTTGTTGTTTTTGTTATCATATCATGATAATAAGATGAGTATTATTATAATTAACTGTCATTATTATCATCATTCTTTAAATGGTTATGATCACAGTCACTTTTATTGTTATTACTGTTACAATTATCATTATCATCATTATCATTATTACTCTATATCTCATATCAGATGACACAACAAAGGGACAGAGACATGGCAAACGCTGAAACTTTGAAAGACGATTTTTTCGTAAATCACGTGATCAAATTTACCACACACATGTGTGAACATGCACAATACGTTTGTGAGAACTAGGACATTGTTTACAGACAGATGTGTTCACGTTCTCAATGTTTACAGACAGATGGGTTAACGTTCTCAGTATTTACAGACAGATGGGTTAACGGGCTGCCCCCAGTGGTCTGCGCACATGTAAAATACAACAAGGTTTTATGAGTTGTTGTTTTGTTACAGAAGAGCCGAGTCCCCCTACAGTTGTCCCGAGATCAGAGGTTTGTGGTCGAGTTCTGTGATCAGAGGTGTGTGATCAGAGGTGTGTGGTAGAGTTCTGTGATCAGAGGTGTGTGGTAGAGTTCTGTGATCAGAGGTATGTGGTAGAGTTCTGTGATCAGAGGTTTGTGGGAGAGTTCTGTGATCAGAAGTGTGTGATCAGAGGTGTGTGGTAGAGTTCTGTGATCAGAGGTGTGTGGTAGAGTTCTGTGATCAGAGGTTTGTGGGAGAGTTCTGTGATCAGAGGTGTGTGATCAGAGGTTTGTGGGAGAGTTCTGTGATCAGAGGTGTGTGATCAGAGGTGTGTGGGAGAGTTCTGTGATCAGAGGTGTGTGATCAGAGGTGTGTGGGAGAGTTCTGTGATCAGAGGTGTGTGATCAGAGGTGTGTGGGAGAGTTCTTTGATCAGAGGTGTGTGATCAGAGGTTTGTGGGAGAGTTCAGCTTGCTGAGCTCCCCGTGGATTGTCCGTATTTCTTGCAGGGAGTAGCGATGTCCCGAGATGTTGTGAACAAATTCCCGCCCTGTTGCCTTCCGCTTGTCGTAAGTAAACCGGATGTCGTTGATGAGCTCCACCCCCGCCCGCCGCGCGCACAGACCTGTGATGTAGATGTCCTCCAGCCAGAAGAAAGGCACGGAGCTGGCCACATCTCTGATGGCCACGGCGGCCGATGTGCTCATGACATAGGCCGTGCCCGAGGCATAACGCGGGTAGGACTTGTCCTTGAACCTCTCCACGGGCGTGTACCACTTGCTGCTTTTCTCACGGATGGGGGCGGCGCCGGTGATGGCAAAGCCGCGGATGAAGGGGGTGGGCGGGTTGTGGGTGGACGTGTTCCGGAGGGCCGCCAGGAGGAGGGGCACGTTCACATACATGTCGTCGTCCGCCTTGAGGATGTAGCGCGAGCCGTTACAGAAGGTGGCCGCCCATTGCACGATGCTGAGAGACTTGAGGGTCAGGTTCTGATAGCTGTCCACGTAATTCCCTTCCACGATGTCCCCGAACTCTTCCTGCTCCGCGCGAATCTGTTCCTGGGCCTGTGGACTCTCCCAGGGCTGGCCTTGACCCAGGAAGAAGAGTAAGAGCACAGGTCGCGTGTGGTTGAGCAGAAATTCCGTGTTGTTAAACACAGGTCGCGTGTGGTTGAGCAGAGATTCCGTGTTGTTTAACACAGGACGCGTGTTGTCGGGCAGATGTGTGGCCTTGAGCAGCCCCGGGGAGCCCCACGTTTCTCTGATGACCGCTCGGCCCTGGGCGTTGTTCCTTGACACCGGCACACAGATGACCAGCTCCACCTGGCGGCCGGCACACACCTGGTAGCTGGC